CTCTCTATTTATTTCAGAGCCCCCTTCCCCTCCCCCATTTCTGAAGAAGGGTCCCGACCCGAAACATGAGCTTTCCTGCCCCCCTGATGCTGCCTGGCCTGCTGTGTTCCTCCAGCTCCACACTGTTTACAGTAATTAAACCACTGGACTAATTATTGCCATCAATCCCATTTCTAAAATATGCTCAAAGCTTTCCAAGTCTGATATACTTCTGACAGTCCAAAAGAACCAGGCAGGTAGTGCAGGAGACCCCTGAGGTCTTGCTCATTAATTGGTTTTCTGGTGAGGGCAATGATATATGTGGATGCATGGAGTAGTGTAAATATGATTGGTGAGTTATAGGTACAGATTGCCACATAGAATTATGTTTTTGTGGTGGTAACAAGACCTAAAGAACAGGATTAAAATATTCTTAGTTACAGGCTATTCAGGTTAATAATAGTATTTCAGTACTGGAGAAAGATAATGTCTCAAAAGGTTGAAGGACAAAATCAATCTGGCTCGAGCTGAGGAACAAGAAGTGTGCAATTACATTGCTCAATGTAGTCTACAACTAATGGGGAGAATGTGGATAAACAAATCTACATGGAAATTACAGAGAGGTCAAGCTTTATAGTCTATAGGTGTTTGACCACGCAGAACTGGGGTACTGCTTAAAAAAAAAACACATTCTGTCATCAGGACAATTTGCATGAATACCAATTTAAAAAGGTAAAAATTAACATTTATACCATGAGAGAAGAGCTCTGATTGGTTAGCAAGTGGTCTTAGTAGGGCCGTTGCCATGGAGAATGCCCCTGTTAATACTGATTAATAGTTAACAGTAAACTTTGTCTAAATTTTGAGCCAGGCTGTTTGACTCGGACTAGTTCGGGCATTGCCCTGAGAAATAAATTAGAGAATGGCAATCACTGATTTTGTGAGGTTCTTTCTGTCTGCAAAAAACAAGACCCTGTGTATACGTTGATTGCAGTATACACAAGTGTCACTCAGACTCCTAAATTGGTTATCAGCATAATTCCTTGTACATTTTGGATTATCCAGTAAATGTTTTCCAATTACAGAATCACATCTCCTTCCCAAAATCCACAAACCTGACTGCCCTGGTCGACCCATTGTCTCCAGCTGCTCCTGCCCCACCGAACTTATCTCCAGTTACCTCAACTCCATTTTCTCCCCCTTGGTCCAGGAACTCCCCACCTACGTCCGTGACACCACCCACGCCCTCCAAAACTTCCGATTCCCTGGTCCCAAAACACCTCGTCTTTACCATGGATGTCCAGTCCCTATACACTTGCATTCCCCATGCAGATGGCCTAAAGACCCCCCGCTTCTTCCTGTCCCACAGGCCCGACCAGTCCCCTTTATCCACTTAGCTGAACTCGTCCTCACCCTTAACAACTTCTCCTTCAATTCCTCCCACTTCCTATAGACAGAGGGGGTGGCCATGGGTACCCAAATGGGCCCAAGCTATGCCTGCCTCTTTGTAGGATATGTGGAACAATCCCTCTTCCGTACCTACACTGGCCCTATCCCCCACCTCTTCCTCCGTTACATCGATGACTGTATCGGCGCCGCCTCTTGCTCCCACAAGGAGCTCGAATAGTTCACTCACTTCACTAACACCTTCCACCCCAACCTTAAGTTTACCTGGACCATCTCCGATACCTCTCTCTACCTCTTGAACACCTCTGTTTCCATCTCTGGCAACCACCTGGAAACCGATATCCATTTCAAGCCTATCAACTCCCACAGCTACCCAGAATACACTTCCTCTCACCCACCTTCCTGCAAAAATGCAATCCCCTATTCCCAATTCCTTCACCTCCGCCGCATCTGCTCCCGAGATGAGGCATTCCACTCCCGGATATCCCAGATAACCTCGTTTTTCAAGGACCGCAATTTCCCCTCCACAGTGGTCAAAAATGCCCTCGACCGTGTCTCCCACATTTCTCGCAACTCATCCCTCACACCCCCTCCCCGCAACAACAACCAAAACAGAATCTCCCTCGTCCTCACGTACCACCCCACCAACCTCCCCCGACACTTCCGCCATCTGCAATCCAATCCCACTACCAAAGACATTTCTTCCTCCCCACCCTTATCTGTCTTCTGGAGGGACCACTCTCTTTGTGACTCCCTTGTCCACTCCACACTCCCCTCCAGCCCCACCACCCCTGGCACTTTTCCCTGCAACCGCAGGAAGTGCTACACCTGCCCCTACACCTCCCCCCTCACCCCCAACCAGGCCCCAAGAAGACCTGCACATCTGCTAGTGTGGTATCCTGTATCCGCTGTTCCCGATGTGGCCTCCTCTACATCGGGGAAACCAAGCGGAGGTTGGAGACTGCTTGGTGGAACACCTACACGCGGTTCACGACAAACGACTGCACCTCCCAATCACGAACCATTTCAACTCCCCCTCCCATCCTTGGGCAACACATTCATCCTGGGCCTCCTCCAGTGCCACAATGGTGCCACCTGAAGGTTGCAGGAACAGCACCTCATATTCCGCTTGGGAACCCTGCGGCCCAAGGGTATCAATGTGGACTTCACAAGCTTCAAAATCTCCCCTCCCCCGACTGCATCCCAAAACCAGCCCAGCTTGTCCCCGCCTCCCTAACCTGTCCGTCCACTCCTCCCACCTCAAGCCTCACCCCCACCTCCTACCTACCAGCCTCATCCCGCTCCCTTGACCTGTCCGTCCTCCCTGGACTGACCTATCCCCACCCTAACCCCCCACCTACACTCACCTTTACTGGCTCTATACCCACTTCTTTGACCTGTCTGTCCCCTCTCTACCAATCCGCTCCTTTATCCATCTTCCATCCGCCTCCCCCCCGCTCTCTCTCTCTTTATTTCAGAATTCCCTTCCCCTCCCTCATTTCTGAAGGGTCCAGATCCAAAACTTCAGCCTTCCTGCTCCTCTGATGCTGTTTGGCCTGCTGTGTTCATCCAGCTCTACACCTTGTTATCTCAGATTCTCCAGCATCGGCAGTTCCCACTATCACAGAATCACATCTAATGTTAGACACTGCATTGAGGTTTACAAGTACTAGGTTGGTTGGGGACAGTCAGTACTTGCTTGTTAGGAACGGCCAAATGAAGTGCTATTCGATGCAATCTTCCAGCCTAGAGACCTGACATCACACCAGTGATGAAATTCATATATCAAACATTCACGTGGTAGGCAGAATGTTTTTTTGGCATGAAGACAGCATCCTGTTAGTGGCAAACACCAAAGCTTTGAGCAAAGGTGAAACTTGCCGTTTCACACAGCTATTATGCAGCAGCAGGATGACTGGTGTTCACCTCTAACAGGATGCTACCTTCAAGCCAAAGCGCACAAATGAGTAATGTGGTATATGAATTTTAGTGTCTATGAGATGCCAGGTATACCAGGTGTATGGCTCAAAAACCGGTGGATCACATTAAACAGCGCATCCCTTTAACTCTTTAGAACAAGCAAATTACTGGCAATTGGCTCACATTTGCAAAACATACAAAAGCATTTAACATTAGATAGGATTCTACAATTTGCTGGATAATCCTGAAAGTATGAGAAATTACACCGATGGACAATTTAGGATTGTCAATTGGACTGTTGCAGACTCGGGGCAATGCCCTGGCAAATTACCATTAGCCTGACTGGTTTTAAATTTAAACAAAGCCTGCTGTCAGCTGTCAATCAGCATTAATGGGTGCATTCTCCATGGCTGAGTCTCTACCAAAGTCCACTTGCCAACTAATCAGTACTCTCCCTCTCTTGCAGTATAAATGTTGGTTTGCCCCTCAAATTGGTATTTTTGTAAAATGTCCAGATGAGTGCAAGATGCAAAACTTTGACAAAAATCTGTCTTTCTTCTGCAATATGTTACC